TTGGTTTATTAGTATTTAAAATACATTTCGTGAAATAAATATACCCCATCAAAAATTCTTCTTGTTATATTTCAGGAAAAGCGTATGTCAACCGGCCTTAGTTCTGAAGACAATTTTCCAATCAAATTTTTCCCAATTTAAATCTGAAAATATATATTTTAAAGCCGATAGCCATCTGAATTTCTAAAACTCTTATGGAAAGGAATTTTCAGGGAACAAGAATTTTGACGTGACGTTCTTTTTGCCAGTGTACAAGGTGTAATTTTTACTTGAAAACTGCGAATGCATGAGACTCGTCCTGAAACAATTCGACGGGGGAGGGGGCGTAATCTAACTTTAAATCTCTGTAGGTTATCTAGTAAAATTCCAAATAAGAAGAAACCATTCTCGATACGTATATTTCTTGCATCTCGTACATCTAATTCTAAGATTCAGCTGTAGTCAAAGAGATTTTGTCACAATAGGATGAACATTCTTGATCTCTCGAACTGTCACTGGTAACATGTGATCATGTTCATCACCAACAAACTTAGCCGGCATGATGGCACAGTATGGCATGTGACAATGAGGTCTGTTAAGCGCTGGGTAATACTGTCGGTAACAAAGATAGGCGAAGAACAAACCTGGAACAAAGAAAAGTTTTTAAGAACACCACCTCATGTTTGCAAGGTGTACTGCGGTGGAACCCGCTGACACAACACTCCTAAAGATCAAACCGTCACGGTTTGTCCATCCTAAAAATTCAAGTCTAATATTATCTAATTCATCCATTTGATTCTCATCCATTCGTAACCACAATAGTTCCTTTTTGCTGTAATTCTTAATTTTTTGTGTATTTATAACACAGCAAGCTAAAAACTCTACGTTATTCCTCAAGTTGGGGGTGCTTTGAATGACGCGGAAAAAACGACTCATAATACCTATCTTCTTCATATACAAAACTCTTTGTCGAACTCAGTGAAAAATGAACAGTTCCGTTCCTGATTTCAGGAAATGCGATATCAAGAAATCTTCAACCAATACTCAACGCAAAACAGATGAGAAGAGATCAAACACTTGCATTTTAAAAGACTTTTTTTTTCAATCACAACTGAATCCCTAGTTCTTCAACGAAGGAAAGTTACATTTTAAAACAAGTAGTGTTTCAATACGATGTCTAGTCACTTTGCCAACAAGTTAACTCACCGACAACCAACTTGCCTACTCCATTAGTCAACTCGCCGATACCTTATATCGACGTGCCGACAGTCGCCTTTGGTCTTTGGTAACCTGTTGAGTAACAGAAGTTGGTGTTGGCAAATTGAAGTCGGCGAGTTGACTGGTGTGGGCGAGTTGACTTTAACGGTGTCGGTGATTGGTTGTCGACGAGTTGACAAGTCGGCTAAGTGGCTGGTAACAATGTAACTCACCTATCATGGTTCCAACCATTATGTCTGTGGAAAAATTATAGTGATCAGAAAACAATTAAACTTAATTTTTATGTCAAAGCTCTTTGATCATGTTCCTGCTTAACATCTATGAGCGAATTATTTGCTTCCCGTTTCTCATTTCTCGTCAAACTGTACAAGATCAGTCTATTGTTTGGATTGCTTGCACGTCGGAAGGAAGATACGTTCATTGTAAATCATTCTCTCTCTCCTGCTCAACTTTCTCATAAAAGAAAATTTCAAGGCACAAGTATCTTAGAGCTCTGAACTGATCTGTTATATGATATTCCATTCAAATCCTAAATTTGAGGCATACATTTCCAACAAATAAGAATATGGAAAAAAACATGACAAAACAGATTTTAAAATTGGAAAATGTCTCTCATCACTGAAACAAGGAGTTCCAATCAACAACAGCAAAAAAGTTATATTTATTTGAAATAAACAGTAGATTTACTTTTGAGAGCCATGATGCCTTTTTTTTTTTTTACAGCTTCCAGGACTTCCCTGTATGAATTATGAAATAGTTATCCACAAGGCCTGGGGACCCTGAGAATTTCACCTTTCTACTGTCTAGTATACCTTGCCAGTGATGGCGATAGTCTGAATATCTGGTAAGTGCCAGTGCCATGGCAGCTATCAAAGGGGTTAGAGCAATACACAGTTTCCACCCTTGTCCTCTTCCCTGAGCTTGAAAGCAGTGTAACTTTCCGGCAAGATAAAGTGAGATGAAGCCAAGGCCACAAAAGGCAACTGCAAATTGAAGCAATATACAAGCATGACAAATTAAGCAATTCCACCAACAAAAGAAACAAAAAAAAGCAGAGGTAGTGATCCAAATTGTATACATGCATTAAAGACATTAAGTGTGGCTTTTGAGCTAAATGGCCTATGTTGTAGAAAGTTTTCCCACTATTCCCAGAACTAATACCTAGTTCCTTCTCTGCCAAGGAATAGTGCTCCAGAATAGGTAACCTCAAGATTTTATCAAGTTTCCTAAACAATTCTGTAGTAATCATTTACCTTCCTGGGGGAAAGTGGTAGTGTGAGAGTGAAGTTTCTTGGCAACAATGCGACTGTGGTTGAACTTACAAGTTCAAGCCAGAACCTTTTGATCCACAGTCCAGCAAGCTCACCATGGGTCACCTTTGCCTACCACCAAACATATAGAGGATACAGCCCTAGATTTTTTGCCCACTTTACTGACTACAAGATTTTCCTTAACTTTATGAATTTTAAGCTAAGTCTATTTATTAGAAAAATAGAGTTCCTGGTAAGAGATCTCTTATTTTTCGATACTCCTTTCCTGCCTATAAATGACAACTTACATGAAGAATGGCCACTTGGAAAACTTTTTCTGCCCTCAATTATTTCATCAGGGTTGCCGTCACACTCTGTACTTGCTGGAATAACTCCATTTGGATAACAACGCCAGAAGTAATCTGGACGAGGCCTGGATCAACAACTCAAGCAAGTAAGAACTTGTCATGGTATTTCTATATTAAGAATCTCTACAAAATCAAATTTGTTTCAAATAATTAGAAGCTAAGAAATGAGTAGGTTTTGCTACTCTTGTACAGATGTAGTAAAGGTAAGAGAAGTAATATTCAACTGGAAACAAATTGCACAGTGAAATCCCTCTGCAAGAACTTTCACAGAAATTTAAATCTGACATAAATCTTTACCTGCCTACAAGAATTTTCACTATGTTTGTCACAACTCCATTGAGTCCAAGAGTTAATGTTAGAGCTGGAAGGCAAACAAGGATGATAAATACACAGATGAATAAATAGGGTGGTATGATATGAGGGATACCAATTGGTGGACAAAAGCAAGAACAGAAAGTTAGTTAATTTTGAAGAAGAAGTGAGTGTTACTCCTACCTAAAATAGCTTGAGTACCATCAACTTTGTCCTTTCTTAATGCTGCTAGAAAAAGGATTAAAACAGCAGGAAGAACTGCACCTATTACCTGCCAAAAACAGAAAATGAATAAACAGAGAACCATATAGACAGTTCTTACAACTCTGTGGATGAATAAACAAACTTTCATCAACTATCATACTGTATGACTAAGCAAGGCTTTCTACAATATTTAACCTAGACCTCTCTTAAAATAGCAGCATGGTTAAGTTCCTTTTAGCTGTTAGTAAATAAGCCTTTGCCTTTGCTTTTGAGCAAAAATATGATTATTTTTCAATGTTTTATCCATGCCAGAAAGGCTAATGTAGATGAATAGTTAAGAACAGAAATTAGAACCACCATATATGAGAGATGTCTATATGAGTCAGACTCTATAATTTACATTTCAAAAGCAACATTGGCTTATTTCATTGATTCAGACCACTGATTTAAACTGAATAAAGTCAGTCTGTGTAATAGTCAAATTGGCTTTTGGGAGAAGAAACCATGAGTTATTAATTCTTTCAGCCCTGATGGCTCTTTAGTCCTCTTTAGCTCCTTAATTAAACTTTGATACATGTAGCAGTTGAAGGCATGTACCTATTAGCTTGATAAAAACATAAATCAGTAACGTACAAAAAGCATTTCTGTTGAGATTGTGTTTGTGGATTTAGGGTTCTTGTACAGCCACATCTCTTCCTCATGAATGACACGCACAAATGCGGAAGTATACTCCAATGTCCTGAGAAGAGATGAAAATGTTTGTAAGCTTAACAAAAAAAGTGTCTATTACTCCCACCTGACACTGTATAAATATTACCCTACGCTTTAGCAGTACTTTGAAACCCAAGAATATTTTTGCAAAATTTAAGTATGTTCTTGATTTTTCCACCACTCTTTTACATGGTGAGACTATTCAATAACATATTCTAATTTTTCTGCTTATGGTAATATAGTTCATGATGGTTTACATGCGTACAGATAATGATAGGTAATGGATAAGTTAAACTGAATTTGTTACTGCATTTGAAATAAAGCAAAGAAGTTGTGTTTTTAAACTGTTTTGTGTGAAATTTTTCAAAGTGTCATCTCGGGGAATCTGGGAAACTTCTGTAGTTCTGTCCAGTCCACAAACATCCGTTTGAAATTGCGTGTCTTTTTACATAATTATTGAGACACTGCATTTTCTGTTGGTTAGCATAGAGACTTGACCATACTATCAAACGAACTGATTCAGAAGGATCTTACTAATGAAGGAAGCAATCGGTGGCCACATGAGCAAAATTCGTTGATCAAATCAATGATTTACGGTCACTTGGTCAGTTCTACAGGTTATTTAGCAACTAATCTCTTACCTTCAGAATATGCTTGAAATATTGACCCCGGGTTAAATCAAAATAAAAGAATCACAGGTATCAAATGGAGCATTCGTTCTCTGGCGATAGGAAGGCATAGTAACAAAGTTTTTCGGCACAACTGTCGACAGCTGGCTTTCTGGCCGATGGAATTGAATGAAATTGGACGTGGAAAGGCGGTATTTCGTTAAAAGAGCTGTTTCTATTTTACGAAAAAACAATAAGTAAACAAAAGACTTACATAAATATTGCAAACAGGATCATTCGTGCTCCGATTTCGGCCAATAAATTCCATGATCCTTGTCTTAATTTCGCCGCCATCTTGGACATTTTGTAATAATATTTAATGTGGAGAACCGCTGGTCAAATAGAAGTCGATTTGTAGGATTCACAACCTAATGATTGGTCGAAAATTGTCACGTGGAAAAAAAGGGTTGTCCGCCATTTTACATTCTGAACCGAGCTCTATGTTTTTTCTGAGGATAGTGTAAATAGTACTTATTTTCTGTGGCAAGATGGACCAATTTGACGTGATAGCAAATCAGCCTATTGTCATAGATAATGTATGTCATATTCTTGTCAACAATATCGTTCTCGGGAAGACTGACAATTTTTTAAGGCTTGTATCGAGTTCTGTATTGAAATCAGGTGTAGTTAACTTCTTATAGGTCAATATTTTTAGTATTTTAACCTTGATTTCAATCTAATAGGGATCAGGAGTCATCAAAGCTGGATTTGCTGGAGATCAGATTCCCAAATATCATTTTCCAAATTTGTAAGTTTCTTATTATTTTTGTCCTCAAACTTGTTCTTCATCTCGATTGTAAGAAAAATGTTAAGTCCATGTGTACATAATTTAATTTTTGTGCTTATGATAAATTAAAAGCGTAATTATTTTCAAGTGATCAAATTGATTGATTGGCCCGACCCATATGACCAATTTATATTGAGAGAAAATAGTGTAATTTGGATTTCAGCTTTAAGTATTGTAACCAGAATCTTAACGAATGGCTCTTAAGGCCAATATTTAAATTTAGATCTCTCGTGAAAGTGATATACAGTAATGGCTTCGTAAACTTGCTTATTGAGTAGAGTCCACTTAAGCTTGAAATGACAAAAGCAATTCAACAAAATCCAACAAATATGAGCTGTTGTATATTCTATTCTACATCTGTGTGCTTAATTTACCTAACATTTTTTAAGGTCTTAAGGTTTTAGTCAATCTTGTCCAGATGTCCAGTTTTACCCTCTTTTAAAGGCTTAAAAAGTAAGCACACAACTGTAAAATATAAGATAGGATATGGAGGACATAATCAAAACTATGTCAAAATCTTGAATGTGAATGGTTATTACCAGCCTGATTTGAGCATCAATGGACAGTGTATGTGCCATGCTTGTGACTGGACAGCATAATAGGACTGTTATGCCTTAGTAAGTGAACAGTATGCATCATGTGCACATGCTGTTGCTGTGCTTTTCACCAAATGAACTATTATTTTTTATGAAAAGGTGTAACCAATGTCTAGTTTCTTTCAATTTTTGTCATATTTTTGATAATTACCAGGACTTTGTGTGGTCCAATTTTTTCTGTAATTATACTTGTGACCCACAAATTAGACTTCCGCTTCACGGTTGTCTGGTTTTTTTTTTTTTAATAACTTGCATGATTACAGACTGAACTGGACTTTAATCAGTCCTATTACCTTTATTACTACCGAACAAAAATTGCTGTCCAATTACTTTGACATGATGCACAAGTTCTCTTAAAAGAATGTACTGTCCTATGGAAAACCATCTCTATTATACATGTATTTTTCACCAGAATGTGAACTAAAAAGTTTTTTCCAGGGACACTGTTTATTGATGTATGTTGACACATTTTTTATGTCAGTGTGGGCAGACCCAAACATGTTCGTGTCATGGCTGGAGCCTTGGAGGGTGACATATTTATTGGACCTAAAGCTGAGGTGTGTGCTGTCAAAACTACTGCAAAAGATTTTCTTGCTACCATGGGTACACGACTTAAAGTCTGTTTATGTTGAGTGATGGAAAATGAATTGAGAATTGTTTTAATTGTTTGTTTTTTTTGTAAGATTCTAGCACAAGCTGAGTTAGACTACTGATTTATTATATACAAAGTGGCTCACACTTAGTAGTGTAAGCTGAGTTAGACTACTGATTTATTATATACAAGGTAGCTCACACTTAGTGGTTCTTTAATTAACAAATGCCTTTCCCTTATGCTGTCCTTTTCAGGAACACAGAGGCCTATTAAATATCAAATATCCCATGGAGGTAAGAGATGATCAATTATTTACTAGCCTTGCAATCCCTGGTCCGTGTATCAGATTGGTTAACTGATGCATTTATTGTTTTTGTATTGATGTACTGTGCAAATCAGAACAAAATAATGTTATTATTAACAAGATGCACCTCTCTTTAGTATATTACAAACAATATAGTATGACTATTTGATGACAAAAAATCAATTAACCTTTCCTATCTGTGTTTTCAGCATGGTGTTGTAAAAGACTGGAATGACATGGAAAGAATTTGGCAGGTAGATGGATATAAACTTTAATGGAATTTCTTTTTTTTTTTTTTTTTACACTATTTGCCAGACTGACATTTGTTGTCATTTTAACTCTTTTTTCAAGTATATATACTCCAAAGACCAGCTTCAAACATTTTCAGAAGAGGTAAACATTTTATCTGTGTCATACAGTACTAAAATTTCATACTCTTTTACCATTACCTTGGTACACCTGTATGGACAGTAATGTGATGTGTGGTAATTTTTTTCTTACTAGCATCCTGTGCTATTGACAGAAGCTCCCCTGAATCCTCGAAGAAACAGAGAGAAATCAGCGGAGGTTAGAAATAATGAAAAGAATCAAGAAATGGATTTATATGGGGGAGGGGGGGTGAGGAAAGGTGGAAACTATCAATGCCATTGGTTTCTTTCATATCAAAATGACAGCTGTGATGTCTGAGTTCTTTTAACAAATACTGAAAATTTTGCACAAAAAAAGTTAGAGTAAATTATTAGTCAATTCAGTATGGTCTAAAATGAAAATCTTCTAATTAAAGGTGACTTTCAAGTATGTTTCCATGGTGTACTCATTTTTCTTTTGATGCAATTTTCCCACAGATATTCTTTGAAACATTTAATGTTCCAGCATTGTTCATATCTATGCAGGCAGTACTTAGTTTGTAAGTAATGGTTTTTAATTTAATTCTTACCATCTTTTTGCTTTTGTTCCTTATTGGAAGTTCTGTTCATGGGATTCTTTTTTAATGAGGAAACCCTGTCATGATTATATATGATATTCACAGAATAATCTGGGCAAAAAGGTGATAATGGAAATGAAATAATTTAAACAGTAGCTTAAAGGGGATAATGGAAATAACAAGTGTTTATGGCTGGCTCTAGGAGTGAGCAAGATGAAGGGAATCCTGTCCTCTGATTGGTTATGTTGTGGTTTAAATTTACCTCTGTTTACAAACTCTTACTAAACATTACTCTTCAGGTATGCTTCAGGTCGTACCACAGGTGTGGTGTTAGATTCTGGTGATGGAGTGTCTCATTCAGTCCCTATTTATGAAGGCTTTGCTATGCCACACTCAATTATGAGGACAGACATTGCTGGAAGGTATGTTTTGGGTCAAATAATAAAATAAATCAAACTACTTTTTACATAATGTACTGTTTATTTAATTCTCATCTGGTGAGCATTAAGTGGACCTTAATTTTGATTGGTTTAAGAGAATAACTTATTATTTATCACTTTACTTTGCACTGTCAACAGAGATGTAACTGCTTATTTAAGACTGCTTTTGAGAAAAGAAGGCTTCAACTTTCATTCTTCATCAGAGCTGGAAATAGTAAGAACTATTAAAGAGGTGAGAAAATCTTGGATTCTGTTTTGAATACGTATATGTTGAAACTGCAAATATGCTTGTGAATGGTCAATGCAAATACATTTTTGAACAAATGTATAAAAAACTAAAAATGTTTAATTCCTCTTTTTCCAGCGTGCTTGCTACCTTGCAATTAACCCACAGAAAGAGGTAAGTGAAGGAGATCTTAATTGATTTTAAACATTCTGAGACATATTTAATTTTGATTTCATTGCCTTGATGTGTCCACTCATTTTATTGAGAAAATGTCAGTGATCAAAATTATTGATCAAATTTGCAGGAGTCAATGGAAGGAGAAAGAATGCAATATGTACTACCAGATGGAAGCATATTAGAGGTAAAAGACTTTTGCTTCAAAAATTTCCTTAAACTGAACTAGATAAAGGTTACATCTCATGAGTGTGACTTCAATAACTACTGAAGCCTCTTTCAGTTTCAGGTTGAATTGCTACTCCTTCACATTAGCCTGTCATAAGTTACCCTCTATACCTACTGCTATGCTGAGACAGAACCATTATGATAATGTTGAGAAAATGTTCAGTTGTCTCTAATTACTTATTTTTTGTCTTGTTTAGGTTGGACCAGCACGTTTCAGAGCACCAGAACTTCTGTTTAGACCTGACTTGGTTGGAGAGGAATGTGAAGGAATCCATGAAGTAAGGGAGACTGATATAACAGTACTGCCAATTACATTGAGCCAGAGTGTCTAGAACTTAATAATGGTTTCGTTTTTGTGTAGGTACTGGCATTTGCTATTCAAAAATCTGACATGGATCTAAGACGAATTCTCTATTCGAACATTGTGCTCTCTGGTGGCTCAACCTTGTTTAAAGGTAAGAAGATTTGGCCACATGAAGAAAATACTATCCAGCTGATAAGTTTGCATCATTTCCCTTCCACTTTACTGGATAATGCATTGATGTTGTAAGCACAAGTATCCTAGTAATCCTGATGGAAAGATTTGAGTTTGTGTATTTTGTGGTTCAAAATTGAAACAAGGAATTAAATGCAAGGAAAATTTTGAACTAAAACACATCATCAGTTTCAATTTTTCCTTTTTACAGGTTTTGGAGATAGGCTGCTGAGTGAAGTGAAGAAATTGGCACCAAAAGATATTAAAATTAGGGTTTGTATGCTCTCAATAATTCTTCTTGCACTAAATTTTTTAAAGCTGCATGTAACTACAGCAAGGGCTGGTTGATGAGACATAACATGTCTGACTTTTTTATCAGTGTGACTAAAGGTAATTCGAGTTCTATTCCATTTATTTATTTTTTTGTCTGTCTTTAGATTTCAGCTCCTCCAGAAAGGCTTTACTCAACATGGTTTGGGTAAGTTTGCCTCGCACTTGTTTGAATACTTGTCATGATCCTTTTTCTCAGTATGTTGTGGAACATGTTTGGTTATGAAAACCTTGCATCTCAAAATTCTTAGTTTTCCTTTTTTGTTTGTTATTTTAGGGGCTCTATTTTAGCATCTCTAGACACATTTAAGAAGATGTGGGTGTCCAAAAAAGAATATGATGATGAGGGAGCCAGAGCCATTCATCGCAAGACCTTCTAAGCTACATCAGGCTATGCTATATGGTTTAAATTATAGAGAAATCCAGATATAAGACAAGTGTCTTGTAAGTTGTACATATGGGCTTCGCTTCTCAGTTTTATTCTGGTGAAAAGTTTGTGTAATGTGTAGAAGGGGGTCTTAGGAATGAGATTTAATGTCTTGATTGCTTCCAGCAGTAATATGTGGATGAACTCTCTTGTTCTCCAAGAAGTTAACTTAAAGAAACCCTGTGAAAGAAAGAATTTTTTTCAAGGTTTTTTTTCAGCTTTGAAATATGGAGATGATGAAAAGCAGATGGTGTTGTATGTCAAGTTTTTTAGTGGTTCAACAGTTGTCTTACCTCCTGTACCAAGAGGTGATGACTATTTATCTTAGATGACGCTTCTTAACTTAATAGAATCTAAGAAAACATTCTCCTAGGAAGAACTAGAGAAAAAGCCTAGGAAAATTGAAATGGAAATACATGGGACATTACAAGTTGGATGATATAGATTATTTGAAGTTTTCATCTGTGGGTTTCATTTGCAGGTGCAAAAATAATTATAGAAATGGCATTGGAGAGGCAGGGTAAAGAACCCTTTTGACAAGTTTGAAGTCAATCAGCTCCTTTACATTAATTGTTTTGCTTTATCTCCTTCCTGTGGACACCTTTCTTGATCAATTATGAAATTCTCCCTGCACTATAAACACCCTATCAACCAGGCACTCTACTTGGATTAAGGAATTAACAATATACACATGCTGTCTAAATGTAATGGGAGAATGAAGAGTCAGATCTCTGATCGGGGTTTCAGCAGGTTAAACAATTCTGTGGTGGGTGCACTTCTCTCTACACTTTTCACAAAGTGGTAGATTGTATTCCCCAAAGGAGAAGTATGCTCCAGAGATCATGTTATTTTTATTTCCATTTTTAAAGGTTTATATGAAATTATAACACTAGTGACATTGAGATTCTATCTAGTAGTCTATATTCTTGAAAATTATCTTTAAATGTGCTAAAAATTCAAAGGAAGATGCCACTGTCTGTAATCTTGCTCAGCATTGTGGCTGCCACCTTTGATGTTTCAAAGTTTCATTCCCCTTTTTGTCAAATCTTAGTAATGTGTCTGAACATAAATGAGTTGCACAAAAAGGCGTTTTTAAATTTTCAATTTGTTTTTCTCTGACAGTTTGTTCTGATTCCCACCCTTTAGGTGTTTTGTGGTAGGTTTCTGAATTGTTTGTGTGCCAATAATCGACCATACTCTCTATTGTAGCACAATAAAGGACAATTTTTGAAGGATGAAGGTACTTGTCGAAGTCTCAAAAGGCTGAAATTACGCAGATGAGAATTATATCTTCTTTCCCTATAAGCTTTTCACGGAGTGACCAATAAAAATGTCTCTTTGCAGTATAATTACATTGTTAAGCAGGTAGTCTGAATTGAGAATTATACTAGTCTATAAACAACTTTATATAATGCCAACTTCTCTTAACTAAACTTGTAAGAAATGCTTGGAAGACTGTCAGGAAGACACTTACTTAATACTTATGGTTTCATTAAAGACTATCATTTCACCGATAGCAAAGAAAGAAAATAATTGTTAAAATAAACAATTATCCTCAATAGGATTACTTGATTTCTTATTTATAAAAAGAGCATGGGTCTTGTTATTTGGACGGCAGTTATGCATACAATAATTTTATCCAGGTCCAGTTTTGCATTCTGATCTTGTTTGTTGATTATAAACTGATTCAGACAAGAATGATGGACATTGACCTGTGAAAAAGAATGATGAGCAGTTATTAAGCAGTGCCTTCAGGTACTGCATGGACTATAACATTGTACTAAGCCACAGGAGATGTAAGAACTTTCTGTTTGTTTGCCTTGGTTATTATAAGTACAGCTCAGCAGTAAAAGGGAAACAAAAAACAAACAAACAAAAAAACAAACAGAGAAACAACCAAACAACTGACTGTCACATCAGTGATATGTTGCCACATAGGCCCAGAAAGGAGAAAACAAATTGATGAGTTGAGGGAAGAGGTTCACATGTACCTAGTAAAATCTTGTTTGAGAATGAACTTCTCACTGACAACTTTTTACCAAATGGTAACCCATTTGTATAACAGTTATGGAAATTGACAACCCTTTTATATTCATAAAGTAAAACTCTGTATTCCTGAAATTTCCTTTTGTTACAAAGGAAAACAAGGGTAAAGGCTTGAAAACTAAACAGCTTTAACTCACTTTTTTATTGAGTTTATCATAAGTTTACCCTTTCACCCTTCTGCAATCTTTCTTGCCCTTACCTATCCCTGAACCAGTTAGTAATTCCCTATCCTTCCATACGGCCCAAGCCTTTAAATGGTGCCTCTCTACGACATAGCTATCTCTTAAAGTCTTAAAAGGAATTGTACAGGGTATATCCTACTCTTAAGTCTGTCTCCTTTGCTGTTGCTGCTTAGTCTTAAAAGACCTAAAGCAGTTTCTCCACACTGTCAACCTTGCAGAGATGAGACCAAACAACAGCTTCATATTTAACTTCACCTTGAATAGAAGTTAAGTGGACTATCAAAACTTAAAGCACTTCACTTCCCTTGTGTACCCAGCCACCAAAACTTTGGGGTTAGACCAGAAATTTTCCTGTAAAATACCCTTACTTCTCTGAAAAACAAGATATTCAGATGGGGATTGCACTTCAAAAATGACAAGGTAGGTGTTGCTGTAGAAGCTCCTCATAAACTAAAAAGGGAACTTCTTAAATCAAAATTCGTCAAATTAAATATGCAAACAATCAAAAATCCTTGAAAATAAATTTCATTATTTTCACCACAATAAAGTTTACTTTTTATAACAGTTATTTGCTTTTTCACCCATTGCTTACAGGAAAATCGTCATCCAAATTTGCGACATTTGAGATACTTTGAAAACTTTGCGGTAGACCGAGAGATTTGTCTTGCAACCGGAATATTCTGAGACAAACCGGAAGTACTGACGGGTCAGAAAGCACGCGATTGTCGCGGGCGACTGCCGCGACTTTTACCTTAGTGCTCAGTCCTTTCCAGCTTATTCTCGGCCGCATGGTAACAAGATGGCTGACCCTCTGTAAAGTTGTTCGCAGAGTTTTGCAAGTCTTTTTCTCCTTCAATTTAGCATTATTCTCGAAAATGGCACGACAGAGGAAAGGAAAACACAGTTTCGATTCTTCAAGAGATCATGTAGATAGGACTAAATTTCCTCGGCGCCGGGTGAAGGAATCTTCTTTCAAACCAATTCTAGTGCTGGCAGCTGTTTTTGGTCTTCCATTGTTTTTGTTTGGAGCGTATAAACTTTGGAATTACAAATTGTCCACACGTCTTTTCATGCCACTCGATGCGCCGTTAGTTATAAACAAGAGTGAAATGGAAATGAGTCGCTTCTGGGGAACATATCGATCTAACCTCTACTTTGGGCTGCGGTAAGAAAATTATAGATTTGAAAAAAAAAAAAAGCTGACACTATTTTTTTCTTAAATTATGACGACTCACTTGAGCTTGGTTATCTGTTAGTTTCAGTTACAAAGCTAAATTCATTACCTTTTAAATTTTAAGACTAAAGTCGTTAAACATGACTTCTGAGGATTTTTCTCCCGAACCCTTGAACTCTGAAGAATGATGAGCATCAAGTTTCTCCTTACAGAATCATGGCTGAATCAAACAATAAGGTAATGGGAATAAAGGGAATGATCACCATCTAGAGAATCCTGGACTGTGAAACAAATTCTCCTGGCAAATTCCATGTGAAATGTCTAGAGAACAGTGTGTTGATTATGCACACTAATTTTAGGGTGAAGAGGAGTAATGGAGACTGTTGTAGAGGGTTCTGTGAGGACAGGTGAGCTTACCCTATTTGGGGGGAGTTCTATCCACCAGATCCATATTGTTTGGCCCTTTACACCCTAACATCAAAATGCATATTCTCCATACTGTTCTCTATACATTTCCTAAGGTGCTGAAAAGGAGAATTTGATGATCAATTATGAGCCTCTTTAATTGGAGATCATATCCTTTATTCTCATGACCTTTATCTGTAATTTAGAGATGATATTGTAAGGAGAAATAAGATGCTAGTCACTCCACGGATTTAAAGGATTAAAGGGTAAATTGTCATGCAAGTGTTCATTTATAACAAAGATGTGATGATAATTAACTCTAGCCCAACAAAATGTAAGGCTGGATAGGAATTTATCCTTCAGTCAGTCTTCACTATATTTCAAACAGCTTAGGGAAGGTGCTGTGTCTTTGGTTACCCTACATATTTAAGAAGTTTTAACTTGATGAGAAAAAAATCAAGTATTTTCTTGATCTCATTTCCAAGAAAATGAATCAATGTAAAAGGTGTTGAAGTTACTATCCATTGAGGAATTGATAATTTAAGGTAACAAAACCATTTTCAACCACCTCAAAGAGATACATTGATAGAGTTAGGAATTGGGCCTAACTGTAGCAAAAATCATTTTTACATTTACTGCAATAATGTGAGTTCATCTTAAACTGGTCTTCTGGAGAATGATTTTGAGACCATTATTACTGGATCAAACTAGACCAACAGATCTTCTTTTTTGTGTGGGAATATCAAATATAGGATTACCTCTTTCATCTCCATAACCCTACATAGAATGTATAATTATGGCAGAAAATGAAGACGCATGCTATTTTTTTTTAATTTAGCTGGCCACCTTCCAGAAGATTTTGTGTGGATTGAACTTGCTCAATTACAAATCTTTTTCTATTGTCCACAGAACAAGGAGTCCTAAGTCCCTCATGACAGGTTTAATGTGGTTCCCTCAGCTTTCACCTGATGGTCAAGTAACCATTCGTCACACTTGTGAACAGTCTGATGGGCTTCCCAAGTATGGTTGGCTTAAACACGATGGCACCAACTTTGCTTCTCAGCAAATAGTTGACAAAGATTTTGAGTTGAATACAGACTTTGTGAAAAGGTTGGGTGGAGATCATGGTGGAGACTGGACTGCAAGAATTTCAGGAAAGAGAACGGTTGGTGTTTTTTTGCCCCATTTAGTCATACCCTGATTCTCAGGGTCACTTAATGACACAACAAGCATGAGCTAATAATCAGCATTTTTGAAATGTGTCCAAAATCAAACTTCAAAGAGATGCACTGATTTTTCCTTTCTGACCTTTGCTTAATTGCTGACAAGAGAGATAGTTTTTCAACCTTAAGTTACTTTTCACCAGTCTCATTCACAGACTTGATTTTTTGTTTAATATTTTATCTTAGATTTAACTGTCAGATTGAGGTGAAATTGAAAATGTAAACAGTTTAAATGCAGTATTTCATCGTAGATACTTAATCGAAATTTCAAATGACTCTAAATCGTTTAACACTTTGAAATATGTTTATTCATTTGTTATTTTTGCGTCCGATTCGTTTTTTAGGGAAACCCCAGGCAGATGGTTTCGTTACTTTTCTATGTCACTTACGAAGGAGAAGCCCAACTGCAGCCAGTTGTCCACAAGAACACACTTACAGCGCTGCGCGGTTACACGCCTGAACTCGGTTCTTTTAAGCTATATTTTCCACGCCCCTCTAAAGTCTTGTTGTCGTCGTTCTTAATTACACACACGCCGCACGTGCATTCGGTCAAGGAAATAGTGATGCAGAACATGCGTGGGGAAAAAATGAAAGATGGCAAGAATATGCAGCTGCTTGCCTTAGCAGGTCACGTGGCTAAACGTGACCAGAATGGGCGTGAGTTACCAGTGAACCTATTTGTCCAGCAATGGATTCTCGAACTTCCTTTCGACGTGGAGTTTGTGTTCGAGTCTGAAAGTTCCTCAACCAGGGAGAAAAGCCTGATAGGGGCTGCTTTCACGAATCTTAGAGATAAATACAGCGCCGAATTTGACAAAAAATTTGAAGAAAAGTTTTCGTTGAAGGCTAAAGGGTTTAATGACGATGAGGTTAAATTTGCGCAGGCTGGGCTAAGTAACATGATTGGAGGCATTGGTTATTTCTATGGAAGCTCAAAAGTGATTTCTCGGTTCTTTAAGGAACCGAAAGATTACTGGGAAAGCGCTTTGTACACCGCAGTTCCGTCGCGTCCTTTCTTTCCACGAGGTTTCCTCTGGGATGAAGGCTTCCACCAACTACTAATCAGTCAGTGGGACTCGGATATAAGCAAAGATATCATCGGCCATTGGCTGGATTTGATCAACATTGAAGGTTGGATTCCTAGGGAGCAGATTCTCGGCGACGAAGCCCGAACGAAAGTACCTTCAGATTTCGTCGTACAGCACAACGAAAACGCAAACCCACCCACTTTGATCCTGCCTATCAAATCGATGGTGGATAAGGGCGTGTTGGATGAAGAATACTTGCGGAAGATTTTTCCTCGCCTGAAGGCGTGGTTTAATTGGTTCAACACTACACAGTTAGGAAATCAACCATCTACATACAGGTGGCACGGGAGGGATGCTAAGACAGACAGAGAGTTGAATCCTAAGACGCTTACCTCCGGGTTGGATGATTATCCCCGTGCGTCGCACCCGTCAGACGATGAAAGGCACGTTGATCTACGTTGCTGGATGGCATTTGCTGCTGGACTGATGGCTGACATCGCTGAGGCTGTGGGTGAGAAGTCAGATGCCGGCTTGTACAAATCAACGAGCCAGTATCTGTCGGACAACAGGCTGTTGGACGAGTATCATTGGTCTTCAAAGGCGGAGACGTATAGCGATTTTGGCAATCATACCAAGTTTGTGAAGCTTGTTCAGCGTGTCATGTATCCGAATCAACCCGGTTCGCCCAAAAAGACTGTTCGCGTCGTTACATCAAAGCAGGGTCCTTCTCTTAGGTACGTGAACGCAGTTGGTTACGTCAGCTTGTTTCCATTTCTGCTTCAGATCCTAGATCCCACTTCACCCAAACTTGAAAAAGTTCTCACTCAGTTAAGAGACCCAGAGAAGCTGTGGGGTAAGTACGGTATACGGTCCTTGTCCAAGAGCGACCCCGTCTACAAGAAGCACAACACTGAACACGATGCTCCTTACTGGAGAGGAGCCATATGGATCAACATCAACTTCCTGGCCGTGAGGGCCTTGAACCACTACGCTAGCATCCCGGGGCCTTACCAGGGCACAGCTAAAGCAATTTATACAGATTTACGACAAAATCTAATCAAAAATATGTTCAGGGAGTACGAGAGGTCAGGGTTCATATGGGAACAGTACGACGACGGGACAGGTCATGGGAAGGGGTCTCATCCTTTCACAGGGTGGTCCTCTCTCGTGGTGCTCATGATGTCAGAACATTTTTAAAAATTTAGCACAGGTTTTTAAAATTTATTAGAACAAAATAATATTGACTATTGATTGTGACTCAAAAGAACACTCTAAAAGAGATTTTATCGTAGTTCGTTCAAGGGCGCCTTTGATTGGGTGTCGTAAACCCTAAACTTAAGTAATCACAAGTTAGGTCGAAGAAAAGGAACAATATGTGCATCTACCGTAAACGCTCTAATAAACTTTCTCCTTTGTTGTCCCTCTTTCATAATAAGACTCCTCCTCCCTAATAATGTCTCTCCTTAATAAGTCCCTCTCCAACAGGCCTCTCCCCTCCCCAATTGGCCCCTATTTTCCTTGTCTTCCCCCCTCCCCAATAAAGTACTCAAAACAAGTGGTGTAACAATCATTCGTTCGGGAAAGATAGTTTTACAGATTAAAATATACTCGTATTTAAAAGTCTAAATTAGTTTCCTAACTCTGGGCGACAATTCAGAAGTATGAAAACGGCTCACATGTTGTTCCTCAGTGAGACAGAACTGTGGTGACAGTAATAGCTACAAAGTAGACGAATATTTACACAATTCCAACCATGCCGTTTCTCTTTACTCGTGCTTAGTAAGTAATATGAAAAATTCAATCTTTCATCATCGCTGGATCCCGTCCAAAAGGAATGAACTGATTTTCACCGTTTAAATTTGGAAGAGTAAAAATCTGTGAATTTCGTGAACTGCTTATCGCTTTTTTAAGCTTGGAAGAGTAAAAATGGGTAACTTTCGTGAACCCCAGTCCTTTCCTTGTAACTGAAGATCAGTATGAAAAAAAATATCACTGATTTAGTTGAGTGGTATGGCCTCCTAACCGTAAGTCTCGAGATCAGACTGATACTTCTCTCTTCAAGCTGTTAAACAGTTGCTTGTAAATTTCTTTAGAGCGTTAAAATAGAGTCCGCCGCTTACTGTTCAGTTTTTTCTATTCTTATCACCTGTTTACTGGCTACTCAATTGATACTGTAAGGAAAATTACCATGTTAATCGGTTTGGGTTTTAATTAAGGGTTAAGAGTTCACCCTATGGTTTTCGTAGATGGGTCACAATTAGTTGTTAGCCGTACAGTACTGATGATAGACTCTACCTTGGTCGTAACGATGGTATCAAGAACTGGTAAACTTAACCCTTCAACTCCCAGAAGCAATGAACATGTAATTAGAATATCCATACATAATCCAGCAAGCAGGTAATGAGAAAACTCAAACTTATCAGGTAGGATTTGTTCTCACGATCTAGCACCAAATTCTCGTAACCAATTTGTAAGGAAATGCGAAACAGCTAGAAGGGAGGATTAACAATCACATCTTGGGAGTTCAAGGGTTAAAGCTAACTGTTATCAAAGACGCCAAAGGTGGATTTGAAGAATCTAGTCATGACTGTTTTCACTTTCACACCGTGACAATATTTCCTGCCAATAATTCATACCCAACATGTCGCTATATATTGTATAAAATATAAGTTTGGGGAAAGGATGGGCTCCTTGGATACTGAAATACCCATTATTTTTTTCCATGAGGCACTTAAATGGCCTTTAAAACTACATTCGCTAATCCAATCTCTATTGTGAAAGACAGCCGGGTTAAAATGGATGAGAGTAACAGATCATTCTCGGATCAAAGACCGAGCCCCTGGCCTCTCTTTGAAACAGAGGCTCGTGAAATCTTGGGGATGTCCTATTCCATCGCGTCCAACCAGCTGAATCATGAGAGGAGAGGAGGATAGAGAAATGGGAGAGAAAAGTTAGCCGTGAGAGAGGAAAGGGGAGCATGAGAAAAGTTAGCTGTAAGGCCAAACCGCGTGACCGTGGAAAACTACCTCTCGTGATACTGGAAAAAAAAGTTGGACCATTTATCTATAGTAGTGGAGCAAATATTTTTTATTTAAATTTAGTTCAAGTCAAAATAGTACGGATGAAATTTTTATTTGTGAGGTGACCAAACGGACCTAAACCGAAAGCATACAACAGTAGTAGTGTGACGCAAAACACGCATATTATTCAAAGTGAACGGCACGTTGAAACTGTCCAAAACAATCTTCTTTATTTCTACTTTACTTGCGATCTGTAAGGAGATGCATTAAGAGCCATTTAAAAACTTGATCTAAAAAAACATTTTTTTCCTTCGTTTGTTTGTTTGTTTGTTTGTTTGCGCGCTTAGTGTCTCATACTTGCATCTGTTTTGAGTTCTTATTGGTTTACTGTATGTTGCCATTTGCTAAGATTGACCACTTTCCGACCTATGAAACTGTACTGAAAACGCCATAGTACCCCTTCTCTCCCGACTTCAGCCATTTAGAACGACAGAGAGAAGACCCCACAGCGTTGTCCAGTCTCCCTAGCTCCGTAGGGTGGAAAGAGGAGAGACCCTGGGAACGATTTTGCTTAATACTTCGTGCGTGTCAATTAACGGAAGTGTGCGAACTAGCAGGTTGTTCAAAAAATAAAACGCTTCCGAAACACAAAATTAACGTCCACGACAAATGACTGTAACAAAGTCTATATTACTGTTCAGAGATTTCCGCGATGTTTTCTGTGCTCTTCGTTTGGGCACTTTGCATCTACTCTTTTCCTTAAATCTCTGTTGGGTTATGTGAGGCATCATCCTTAAACACAGATATAAAAACATCGTGATTAAAAGATACAAATTTGCCCATTTATTTCTGTATTTTTCAAAAGAAATCGAAATTAAAAAAATGAATAACCAATTACACCTATAAGAAAAAGGTTTAAAGTTGTATACACATGGAGACAACTACAGATCCATACCTCATCCGGCAAGTTAGCTGCTGCGTCTATTGCTTTCTTCCTGTTTTTTTCTATTAAAACAACAAAAAAAGAGACAAACAGATAAATGGTCTAATCGAGACATAATGTGTTGATTAGACTGGGTATAGCTTTAGAACACTAGAGTTGACTACTTTATCTCTTGAATAAACCCCTTTACCGCTTAGAGTGTCTGGCTTTTTATTTCTCCTTACACATCATTTAGGAATCAAAAGTTAAGGTCATGTGAATAAAAGAAATGATCACCTAATTGTAAAACAAATTACAAAAACTGGGATTTAATGGAGGACATTCCGCGAGGTGACTCTTCTTGTCCACTGTTTCCAGGTTGAATTGGAATTTAGAACGTTGGCTTTTGTGAAGGGGTGACCCAGAGAAAAACCCTTAGAGCAAGGACGAGAACCAACAAAAAACGCAACCCACATGCGACACCAGGTCCGGGAATCGAATCCGGGTCACAGTAGTGGGAAGGCGTGCGTTCTCACCACCGTGCCATAAATGCTCTGATAAATTCTTTTTGTCAGTACCACAGGAATTGTAAAGAGAACAGTGGGAAGAGTATGAATGTTAACCTTAGGGTGGAAAGGGTCAACAAGTTAAATGGCTCTCTAAAGTTAGAACTTAAACCACAAAACCAATGTAAGGCTTTCCCTCAGTTATGTCACAGAATGCAGCCCTCCCTCTTCAAGTATATCTTGCATTGAAAAAAAGAAATACTACCGGAGCCTATATTACCGAGAAACTGAGTAAGTGAGAACCTTCAAAGCACTTACCGAGAGCAGCTAAACTTTCAAATAACTTGTCGATGTGTTTCCTGATAATGATAAATGAAATAATGATGAATGAATTGGTAAATTGGCGGTTTAGTCCGTCAGACGATAAGTCTGTCAATCCGTCAGTCTCGCAATCAGGCAGGCAGGCAGTCAGTAAGACTTTCAGCCTAGCAGTCGTGAAGTCAGTCAGTCAGTCAGTTAGTCTAGCAATCAGGCAAGCAGTCAGTAAGACTATTAGCCTAGCCGTCTAGCAGTTGGTCAGTCAGTATAGCTACCAGGCAGGCAGTTGTAAAATTTTTAGTCTAGCAGTCTGTCAATCAATCAGCTTGCGAGCCATCCAGCCAATTTGACATTCAGTCAGTAAATCAGTCAGCCAAAAGTCAGTTGGTTCTCAAGTTTGTTTGTTATTACCAGTGTTGTGTTTTCTACCTTCAAAAGTACTGATTGTATATGATACTAAGGAAAGAATAATAACAAGTGCCTTGCCTTTTATCAGGAGGAAGGTCGACTGCATCATAATAACGACTTCGTCTGCGACTGTTAAATTCAAACCCATACTTGGCTATCAGCTCAAAAGTTGCCTGAAAGAGTTGAAAAGTATCACAACAGCAACAAATATTGGGACCCACGCACACAAAAAACACCTAATAAGACAAAGCGATAGACAAACTGTCAAATCTTTGGGGTGTAAAAATTTTACGGAAGTACATAAAATTGTCTGAAGTTATTGGATGAAGCAATGCAGTCTCAGGTAATATTCTGGAAGGATTTCCAAAAGTAGAGATGGAAAGAAACAAAGGCAATCCATGTAAAATTGCAATGAAACGACACCATGTATCTTACTTCTGATGCACACGTCTAAACTAAGCTTAGCGCATCCCTTTACCTTTCACCCAATATATCGATTGAAGCACCTACACACCTAGAGTGTGACATCCTAGCCAGAAAAATACTGTGACAGTCTAGTGTGACATGCAGCGTGACACTTACCACTACTTTGGTTTTGTCACCTTTCTTCACCGCCAGATTCAGTATGTTAAAGAGACTTGAAAAACTGGAGTGAAATTAAAAAAAAATTACCATGAAAAGTCCATGTTTCTACAACGTAAGACTCACAAGACACGTGAACCAGAAATACCCTTAAATCTCGCGTTCCACTAATTTACACTCATTTTTGTGTTCAAGAACAACTAATTTTGCTATTCAAATATTCTTATATCAAGTCTTACATTAACAGGTATAAACTTCGATTTAAATACCTATCCTATACATGTTAGGTATGTCGCAAACAAGTTGGCTATTAGGCCAAACATGATACAACCTAAAATGACATAGTAAGTGAATTTTTTTCCAGAAAAGTCCCCAAGAAATGGTGCCAAAATCAGCACAGAAAATACAGCCACGATTTTTTGTGAGTAATTTCCGAGTTGCAGGCAAAAAATTAGAGACACTAGAGAAAGGTCTCCACACTTTAATAAAACCTGACCTGACAATTCATAAAGTACTTACTGTGGAAAGGCTTCTACTTTATTGTACATCGCTAAACAATTCCTGAAATAATAGAATCCCTAGTTAGCCTAACATAAATCTGTTTTTAAATTTATATACTATTCCAAAAATAGGTCGAAGGTGGTGTCTTTAGGATGGCATGGCCACAGCAGCAACAACAACAGCAACAGCAACAACAACAACAACAACAACAACAACAACAACAACAACAAAAGCAATTTTTCAGTGCTGTAAATGAAAGCATATGAAATTGGGAATAATCATATCATATAACAGGGTACCAAAACTAATTACAGAGCTAAACTAGTTGGAGCAATTCACAATCGGAGCAATCAGAGAAATCCATTTCTTCTACCAAACGGCATTTAGGATAAAATAAAGAGAACGTGCGGACCCATGTATTTTTTGTGTGTATAAAAACAGCCAGTGTTTTATAGATGCACTGAAGGCCGATGATTTGCCAGCTACTTGTTTCTGAACGGCGGTCCCTTTTAATAAGACTAAGCAGTAATTAAAAGTGTCTGTCTAAATCTTTACTGGCTACTCAATTTCAATGGCTTACTATTAAAATATACGATGTAGAAAAAGATATAATAATAATAATAATAATAATAATGGTAAAATAATATCTCTACAGGAAGCAATCTCCTCCAATAAGTGGTTTCAGAACGGCCCTGTTGAGAATATTATAACCTATGAGGTAGTTTGTAACCTTACCAAGCTTCTTCTAGTTTATCGTTTACAGTGTACATCCGAATGATTAGAGCAATGGTCAGTGGAGGAATACTATAACAGCAAAAATTGAAGATCCTCATTAGAGATTAAAAAAACCTTTCAAACTCAGTTTAGAAGATTCACTTTAACATTAGTATCAAGAAGTTTCTTTACAATATTCCTTATACAGCTGGAGGAAAAAGAAAGGGAAGTTTGAGAGAAACGTAGAATTAAATGCAATCTTTATAATTCTCTTGGTCTAAAATTCAACAAAAAAAAACAGACTTAAAGGAGGAAGGAAGTTGACTAACAAGTAACTTCTCCTCACAAATTCAATACATTACTCAACAACCAGGTGATGACAATACAAAAACACATCCTTGAGAGGCTGTGATTTGCAAAAAAAGCAATTTTCCTAACTTATTTGCATGCTTATGTGCAACAGCTGGAAGGGAGATTTAACAACCTGATCTTGGGCACACACGGGTTAAGAGAAACATACCTTAGCTTGAATACTCCTACCCAATGTAAAACATCGTGCATGACTTCCAAGTTCTTTTTAAGATCCTAAGATGATGAATGATTTAAAAACACTTAGTGACTTTAAAATCACAATGAAGTCTGACATCTGACTGAGATTACATGGTTTATTTCTTTCTGTGGCATCCATTTAAAAGAAGAAAAAAGAGGGAGTCTGGAGGGGATGAATAAGGGGGTGCAAGAGAGGTCTGAGATAGCAAATTTGAAATGACAGAGTAATGAACTTGGAATCTGATTGCACAGACTATAATACAATGAAAGAGGGAATTATCCTAAGGCCACCACTGGTTTGGAAGATTTCTAGGTTCCAGGCGATAACATTCCCCAGCCATCAAACATAAGGGGGGCCTAGGGAAAAAAAACTTTTTCAAGTATTTCAAATTTTGTACAATTCCTAAGATAATCACTACCACCATTATTTATTGAGTAGATGTTTCTGAATTTCCACTGATCACAACAAACCTCAGGATTGTCAGCTGCAGCAAGGGTTTTAATCAATGCTCTGACTACATTTTCTGAAATCTCTACTTTATACTTTTGCATATCTGTTAAAGGGAAAGAAAACATTAACTAATAAATTCCTGCAATAGTTAGTCTTCCTGTTGGGAAGAAGAACAAAAGGACAGCTTCGACTGACCTTGTTTGAAAATGATAAGAGGTTAAAAAACAATGGAACCAGCAGGAAATCCTTGCAAGAGTTGAATGGTCAATGGAGGGAATGAGTCAGATGCTTAGAAGGAGGGAACACAGCTTAGCAATAGACTAATTAATAAGATCTGCTACTCTACTTCTCATTGTTTTATCACTTTACAAAAATTGGCTGCATTTTGAGGATGAGCTATCTAATGCAGGCTGTCTGGCTGCAATAAACTTTCAAGAGGCTCCTCTTGTTCTCAGTTTCTAGTTCAAATTGAAAATTTGGGGTGTAAGTTTTTGAGGGAGGAGCCCAAAAAATGGAACCTGGAGGAGAACCCTGAGAGGAAGAACAAGCACTTTGAAAAAAAATTCTGAACCTAAAAGTGATGCTATGCTCAGGAAAAGAACCTGAAGGAAAGGGAGGACAAATTCTCACCACTGTGCTTTCTCTGTTTCTCAAGTAAAAAAAATATGAGCTCATGATGGAGGTTACTAGCTCAATTAATCTTTTTAAATTAATAGGAAGCCTAATTGATATTTCTTTTATATTTGAGATCTTTCTGGCTTTGACAATATGATTAAACACACTAAATACTTTTTCCTAAAAAAAAAGCAAGGCCAAGAAGGCTAGTTTTCATGGGCATAAAAGAAAGATAATAATGCCTGCCAGTGTGGAAGAGGTGTAAAGGAGTTAACAAAAAAAGCAATGAGGTTTGTTAAGGACTAAATAGAGAAGGTACATGTACAAGGGGTTTACTGGAAGTTAATCCAGAATTGTACATGAAACTTTGTGGAGGTATATACTGTGATAAGTTGAAAACTTACCCTGATAGAGTTGTGGAGCAATTTTTGCATTGTGAGTCTTGTACGCCTGGTTCAGAAGAGTGACATAGACATATGATCTTGGTCTAATTTTCTAAAAAGCAAACAATTTTTTAAAATATTAAAAAAATATGAATGGAATAACAGACCTGCTGTGATGAAAAAGATATATAGAAAATAAATATCTTCTCTTGAACAGGGAGATTAACTTTACATTAGAGGCAACAACAATGACTTTAAATGTTTACACCTAGTTTCTTTTCTCTTCTGGCACTATTTATTATTTCAAAGGGGGTGTGCCAAAATAGTTCAAGCTGTTTTCTTACAAAGAAAAGAACAAGTGAAAGATGAGTTTATGTAATAAATGACATATGCATACACTGAGAAAAAGAATTTTGAGTGCTCCAAATAGTAGTCAAAACAAAGATCCATACAAGAAGTACTTCAAATGCTTCAACACTCAGCTTTAAGATAACATCAGAAAAACTGTAAGATTATAAACCAGGGTATTACAATAAAAAAAAGAGACAATAACAGACAAAAAAAAAGCACGAGTTTGTTACAACAACAGCAAGCAATACATCAAAAGATATAATATGAAACAGCTATTAAACATACCTCAGGTACAATTTCTTTGTAGTACTTATATAGCAAAGAAAATTCCACATCTGATGTTGAAAGGGCCACAAGAAATGTGGAACTACAGCAGAAATAATGAATGAATGAATGAATGGACAAATGGATGGAGGAATAAGAAATATCATAACATCAATTAAAGAATCAATTGGTCAATCAATCAATCAACCAATCCCTGAGCCAGTCAATTAGAAAAACAATCTGTCATTCTGATTGATTGGCTGACTGACTGATTGACAAACAGGCTCTTTTGTCTTTTGATTTCATGATCCACTGAAATTAATTGCTCAGTCAGTTCAAAATCAAGCAAATCTTCATGGCTCCTTAGCTCAAAGAATTCAGTCAGACAACTCAGATGGGGTGACAAGATTATCTCTCATGGAATTTTTCCCAGATGAAAATGATCTCACTACATCTGTGTACATTAATTTTGCTTCAGCAAGTCTTCTTTGTATAACCAGTAGTTCACAAAGCAAGGTAACAGTAAGGTCATACTAAATTCTTACTAAAAGTAGTACAGGACTGTTTTTTTTTCTTATACACTAGTATGTATACTATGGTAGGAATTTTCTTGTATGTACATTAAAAATCTTTCCACAAAAAAATCACTTACTAGAACTGAGAATATTTCACACCAAGATAAGAAACATTCCTGTCTTTCTGCACCAAGTTGTACACACGTATTGCGATATTAGCATCAATACAAAGAATAGCCTTTAAAAAGAACAAATTAGAATCAAATTTTGTTTCAATTATGGTTTTTTTCTTGTAAAAATTTTTAGGCATCATTTTGTGGTCAAATGGGAAAGACTGTTTGTCAATTCTGAAGTCTTTTAGCAGGCCAGAACTAATACTCCTATGAACTGAGTAACTTGGGCTCTAAATTATTTTCAATTTCTTTCTAATAAAAATGGGAATGCTCTGAAGTCTTTTCGTTCCTTATCAAATATTTGTAAACATGAGTGTCATTTTTTAGGTAAAAATACTTACTGCACTCATAGCTGTGTTGAGGAAGTTGCCTAAAAAAATATATTTTTTCCCATCAGCTCAAAACAAAAGCAAAATTAAGTAAATTTTCATATACAATATAATTCTCAAATCTGAACAACAATGAGGCATAAATAGGGTGAAACCTCAATCATCCATACCTCAATTATCTATTTTTTTTTGCATTATCTTATCTTCTGGTCAACATAAATAATTTTTTGAAAGAATTATTTCTATTTATAACTGTTCCATGTAGTCACTATTTCCAAAAACCTCTATAAACCTTTTTATTTTGCACATGTAATCTGACTTATTTTTTTGCCATGGTCATTCCGTTAAACCCTGAGTTAACTGTAAGCTAACACCCTAAAATGCAACACTTTCAACCTCTGCCACCTGACATCTTTCAGCTAATCACAAGACAAGTTGAAAAAAAGGATAAAAAATTGTGTCCCTGGCAAACTTGTGTACAGCTACCTTAGGTTTTTCTTTAAATACCAAAACACTCAACAGGCCTAAACACACCAAGAAACTGTGGGGAACTTCCATTACAAATGGACTTGGCAAAGTCCTTTCTTTTAAAGAAGAAAGATATTTGAAATGATTATTACAGCTATTAAGGGGTTTGGCAATAGTGGCATGGACAAAATGGACAAAATAGTCAATACTGGAGAAAAACTTGAGCAAAATAGAATCAAGAAAAATGGTGTGTTAGTGGAACCTAAAAAAAAGAAACAAAGTACAAATGTGAAAAAGGATGCAAATATAAGATTCTTCATCTGTGTGAGTGCAAAAGGTCCAGATTGATATATTCAATTTGCTTCTGAGCAATCAAAAACTCTTTTTCTTATATCATGAGCTTATCATGTAAAAGGCTAAAAAGAGGTAGATTTCTCTGGTAGAAGTCTTACTATCTTCTGGATCTATAATGGGTGGGAGATTGGGCAGAGATTCCAGTTGAGTGAGAATTAGATCAAGAACTGCAGGACTTGCAAACATCTTTTTCAATGGTTCTGAAAAGACAAGGAAAAAAGAAATAGTTTCTAAATGGTTAAGAAATTATAACTACAGTGTATAAATGTCTTCTATATCACTTTGTCTCACAGACTCTTATTTATCCACCTGTGGGTCTACTTGAATGTACCTACTCATTATAGGAAATGTTTTTGTTTGGTGTTGTCCAGGTATACATTCACAGTAATATCTGTGTTTGTTTGTCCACATGTTTGTCTGGCTTTCCATTTTTTGGGTGACCATCAATCTACTTGTGCCTTTTCATCAGAGTGACTAGAAGAATTGTGGGTTTTGCATATTTCATAAGCAGAAAAATGGAGTTACGCTATTGGTGGGAATATGGTAATTGGAGAAACAACAATAAAAGTAAAATAAAAAGCTTTCATTGATATGATAGGGATTAAAAATGCTGATTTTAAAGATAAATCGTTACTCTAGATAACAGTCCAACTGTCTGTCTGTCTCTTATCTTCTTGTTTCTTCTTTGTCACTAGGCCACATGCCTATAAGCCCTTTTTCTAGCTGTTGCTTTACAAGGTTACTGGTCTTCACACCTTTCCTCTTGGATGGGGATGAACTACATATAATCAACACATATTAAATAATTACATTGTACATAATCTGACATTTACGTTTATTCTGCTTCCTTTCCTTCTTCTTGTTCCAAAATGGCAGGTATTCTGCTCGTAGTAACTGAGTGTATGATTCCAGAGAAGGCTCTTAAAGAAAACATACTTTCCATTAGTTATGAAAAAAATAAGTTTCTTTTACCAAGAACAGACATCTTATTCATTTCAAAATACCCCTTTCATTTTTTTGCTATGTAACAAATAATCTACACCTCACTTAATTAAGCAGCATTTTGCATGTACTGCAATATGACATAGTCTCAAAAATCAAGGGAAGGTTGATGAAAAAAAAGAAGAAATTAAATTCTCCCTCTTCAGTCTTGATAAATAGCATGAGAGGTACTACCTCTCTTCCTGGATGGAAGCTTGTCAACAGTTGAACTATTATCCTTCCCTTAGCATTTAGTGAAGTTTCCCTAGAAATTTGATGGTACCCTGGATGCAGAGAGGTCCTAATGAGCACAAAACAATGACCCATACTCTGGTTCAAACCCGGAATTTTTATTCTGGGCATGAAATATAACTCAGGTTTAACTGTAAACAAATCAGTGTTCTTTTACCATGTAACTAACAGAAGTGATTAACATGTAACTTCTCCCTATAATATCCATACAGCATATTCAGCAAACAAGTAATGAGATTACTCAAACTCATCAGGTAAAAGTTCTTATCTTGATCTACACGTAACACCAAATTCTCACAATGAATTGAGAGGAAATTTGTAGCAGCTAGAGAGGAGAATTAATCAGATCTTGGAAGTTAAAAGAAACATGTTATGTATCTATCCTTGTGACAACAGAGGTATCGTTACTTCTTCCCACTGAAATTGACTCAAGATATTGGGGATAACAATACAAGGTCTGAAAATAGTCTGGTAAATGTGATTTCAGGGGTTGCAATATATTGGGTAACAAATTAAACGATTCAAGATGTGTTCCAGTCATGATGCTGGGACCCTCATTGCAATATAACAGAACCAACTTACCTATTCCAAGATCTTTCATGTCTCTCATCAAGGACAGTACAAGCCTTGTCCTTCCTCCTTCTTTAACTCCTACAACAGCAACCCTCATAAGGGAATTGAATGTGACTAGTAGAGAAATACAAAGGAATACCTAAATTAAATTTTTGCTGATTATGTTTAAAAGGAGGGAGATGAGGAGGAAGAGGAAAAATAAATTAGGCAGATAAGAGAATTCAGCAGGATCGTATTCACACCCAGGTCATGTTTAAATATAAAATTTAACACTAAAAAACCCTGACTGCAATGATGGGGGAAGTACTCAAGGATAGCTAAAAAAGAGAATAACTGACTGAAGAAACATGATCAGTGGGCATTCTCTAAAAAATGACATGCACACTACAATTAGTGATGGTATTTATGGTAATGACATGAACAATTTGTTTCAAAGGAATTATTACAGTAAAATAAACTCACTGAGATCAGGAATGACCACAGGTTCTTTAACCATTTCTTTGACAAGAATCTGAAAAAGGAAAGCCAAGATGTCAAACCAGTAATTTAGATTTCACTCAAAGTTTGTGTCAGTGTCAAGGCAAACTTTAAAAGATCATTTAGGCTTCAAGCATGTACTTCTGCAAACTTTTTTGCAACCAAGGCCAGAGAGATAACCTTCTACATAATGTTCATGATGCTTGGCAAGTTTTTCTGGTTTGCTGGTAGCTAGTTCCAAAATGTGTTTGCTTGAAGTCAACTTCTATTTCTAGGTAAAGGCAGATCTGCAGTATGCAGTCTGTAAATACTACACACCATTGAAAAAAATGTTTACTAAACCCAAATCTGTTCAGACTTGAGACAGCATTTGGAACACCAATGGAATTAAAGGACTCCTTGACCCTTTCACTGCCATGAGCAACCAAAACAGAATTTCTCTTTACGATATCAACATAATATCAAGCAGACAATTGTTGAGAATAAGGGAAAATATAAAGAACAGGACTATTAGTTGATCTACTACCAAATTCTTCAAAAATCATGAGAATTGTATGGCAGATAGTAAGGATAATTACCTTTTCTTTTCATCTACCTTCAGTTCTTTCTTTAACTGTGATGACGTTTTCTCCCATTACAGATATACCTGAACAGTGAAAGAGCTGTACAGTCAGGGTAATATGTACTGACCTGTGCCATTTCCCAATTTTCAATTCTTGAGATTCCCTTTAATAGATAATTGTAGGTCAACAGAGAAGCTGCATATCAAAAAAAAAATGGTTTTCATGAGTAAAACTGACAGGTAAATTATTAATTCAATATCTATCAGTTTAATCAAAACTACATTCATTTATTTAATTTATCCTTATAAAATTTGGAACACGAAAATCCAACCTTGGTGTCCATTTGCTCTCATTCCATTGATTAGCATATCAAAGGCTCTTTCATAGGCTCTAAACTAAAAACAGGAAGATAATAATTGTCTCAAAGATGTTCATCTTCAGGTACATATTTTCTGTATATCTTATAATTGCATTGCAAATACAGAGATTGTGAAAACCAAAACCATGAGAGAAGACACTCCCACAATATAGGTTGAATTATAAAAGCACTTTTCTGTGGAACAATTAACAATTATTTACCAAAGCAGAAGTGGATAGTGGTGGATATTTACTGAGTGGCAAAACTGCTCAGCCTGTCCTATAGCCATCTCAAGAATTTAAAGCAGGAAATTTCTCAGGTCATGATATGGGAATCTACCTGTCTTAAAGAAATTCCTTCACATAGCCAATAAACAAAAATCATTTGAAGTTTAATTATTATACCTTTATCAAACCTAGCATCATAGCTTCATATGTTCGGCCATCTTTGGTTGTCATACTTTTAAACAATTGTTCCGCATAATTGTCACTGCTGTTAAAAGAGACATGAAAATAACTTTTCAGTTCTTTAGAAACATTTTTTTTAAACCTTGTGTTTCAAGTGAGATACATGTATAATGCATGCAATACAATAAATGATCCAGAATTTTTTTTTTGCAAAAAGTTGTCCCTAAGTAAGGAGACTTCATGTGAAACACCAGCAACAATTTCCAGCCACATTGTAACAGTTTTAATTGCTCATTTGAAAAAAAACAAACAAACTAACAAACAAACAAGAGTATTATAGTACTAACAAATACAACAAACTACTTAAAAAAGGAACAAAAAACAAATTGTTGTATTATACATAAAATATATGAATAAATAAACCATTCACTCACTTCCATAAAACAGTAATTGTACCACCATCATCCTATAGAATGAAGTACACAAATTATTAATCAGTTCTTTAATCTGAAAGGAACTACAAGTTGAGCTTAAATTGCAATTTTCATAACATGCAAATCAATGTAAGATTATTCTGCAATTTTGTATCAGCGGGTATTCTAATTCCAGAAAAAAAAAACAGTAGGTTTAAATGGATCACATTAAAAATGATAATTAATAAACTGGTAAAACTTTAATGGGTCTGAGAGAGGAACCAGGGGAGGGATACACAACATTCTCAACCCTTTTACCCTCAAGATCTTATTGGTAATTCTCCTTACTTTCTATCATGCAGTGCTAATGATGTTAGTTCAGAGAATTTAGTATTGGATCAACTAATCTCCAACTTATATTTTTCTTTATTCTCATCATTTGTCTGTTTGATGTTGTATTGGTACTGTAAGGAAAAATTCTGTCTTAGCCACACCTGGGAGTTAAAGGGTTAAAGAAGGGAATGATCAACAAAAAAATTAAAACCTCAAAAGATCCTTAGAATGAGAGGTGAGAACAGAAATTTCCCTAAATTGGCCAACTGTCTATCTCACTCAACAATCAGTTGAAAGATGTCCTGTTATGGACTTATACTCCCACCAATAAAGAGCACAATGCTCTAAATGCTTTAGACATGGAAACAGAGAACATCAGCTGGTATTTATGAGCATTAGGCTTGTGTGGGTAAAAACCAGGTATGCTACATGTGTATTAATTACCTCTGGGTTAATTAGATCATCATCGTTACTAAATGTTTCACTCTCATCCATATCAGCATCACCAGTCTCTAAATACTCGGATTTTTCCTAAAGGTATTAAAAAAAATATTGCTAACAGTTAGATTGTTACAACTGATTAGGCATCACCTCAAACAGCCATTGGTATCATTAATTCAAACCAGTATCATGTTGCTCTTAAGTTTAAAGGATTCTGGTTTCCATCTGCATATAATTGACTGTGTTGCATCTGCAATAGCATTAAGAAACCCTTACTTCTAAGGTCAAAGTCTCTTCAGCTGATTCAGTGCCCAGTTTAAAGGCAACCAGGTCAAGCAAGTTATTTTGTGTTTCCAGTGACACTTCAACCCCTGCAAATTGTAATAACAAAAAATCATATTTATATAAGCTGAATCATGCATACATTTAATGGCTTCTTATTTATGAGCTATTGGCAGACAGATGCAAAGATGAAATCACCATCAATCATTTTTTGTCTTTTTATTATGTAAAACAAATAGATTCTATCAGTGACACACCCATCTCCGTCTCATGTGCAACTTTTTTGTTCATGCAACTTTTTTGTTCATGCAACTTTTTTGCTCTTGCAACTTTTTTGCTCTAGAAAGAGGTATAGCAACATGAAATCTATATTGTTAATTAAATGAACTGTGAGGTCACATAACCCATATCGCCCTTTTATTCCATAGACTGAACCTTTCTGAGGGGAAAAACATCCAGTGAAGACTGGGAACAAATACTCTTTTGGTTAAAATGTTAGGCCAATATGATGTGAGCTGAAGGAAAGAATTGAATAACCATACTAAGAAAAACATTAAGCAAGGAAATAAAGGGCAAAATAAAGATTGTTACAAGTAAAAGGGCATGAAAGAGGTGATTTTTGGCCAATAATTGCATAGCCAAAGACACTCCCATCCATGTTGCATCATACTACACAGTTCATTAAAAAAAGAAGGCCAAGTACTGTATTTTCTCACTTCTTTCATGGCTATTTGTTAATTAAAAGTGATCCTTAATTTGGTAAAAACTTAGAACCTACTGTATATTCATCACATGTAGTACAGTACATAGTGAAGTTTTTAACATTTAACATCTAATGGCAAGCAAGCTGTTATCAATATTTCCCCAGTGTCTATCTCTCTAAGTGAACTCAACAAAATTTCTTTGAATGGCTCTAATGCATGATGATGTCATTTACTGAAAATTCACTGCCAAGTCCTGTTTGCACCAAACTATCATGAATCTTTACCTCTTTTTATGTGGGTATTCATTTGACTTTAGTGTTTTGGAAATACTTTACAATTAAAATATGCCAGTCCACACCTTAAATGCAAGGCTTGAGGGGTGAAATTAGGTCAACATAAACATGCACAAGGCCTACTCATTTATAATTAGAGGAACATGGTACAGCAAAAACAAAAAATTTTTCACCTTGTTCCTTGAATTTTTCAAAGGCTTGGGCAGCATTCCTGGCACTCTTCCCCTTAATTAATACTGATGAAACAAAATTAGTCAGAGATTGATATGATTCCACTTCTAGTCTATAGATTCAAGTAGAGAAACTTCTAACTCCAGATGCTACTGAAGTTTCAAGAGAAAAGAACACAATAAATAGAAATATTAAACTTTAAAGTGCTTGCAGCTTGAGAGCTGTTGAGAGAAGGAAGCACATTAACATTTACTGTAAGTGTCAAATTAAGTGGTGGTTTTCCTCTCTTGGTTAAACTGCATTGTACTGATTTGATTAAGGGAACAGGAGGTTTCAACTTCTTAATCATGATAACACCTTTTATATTCATTTGGTGATTATTTCAATCAATGTTCCAGTACACTTGTTAAATTAAACACAACTTCTGACAAACCTTTCAGTTGATCCTCAGTTTGAACATCATCAACATCAATAGCTTGTGCACCTTCTACTTTCCAAGCCTGGAGTGAGAAAGAAAGCCATTTACAACATTTATACATCTTTACTGTAACTGGCCATTAAAGAGAATTAGATCAAGGTGTGATTTTGCAGAAAAGGTCAACTTACAGGGTTTGCATTCCAAAGAGGAAAAATCCCTGGACAATTTGAGATCACAAACTTAGCAGCTTCTACACCTGACCTCTTGGCCCAATAACATTGATCCTACAAGAAAGAAGAAACTATCAATAGGATTGTTACTGTAAATCATAAAAATCCTAACTACTCTTTGAAAAAAAAAAAACAAAAACAAAACAGAAAAGCATATCAAAACACAACACAACAAAGAATAAACCAAGAAGTGAATATATAAGTTCCATCCAGAATAACTTTCTGATTTGCTCATTCAAGTACTGACCTAATAATCATGTAATCAAAATATAAACAAGCACCCTTATCTCCTTGTTATTAAGTTTTTCTCAATTAAGTATTGATCAAAAAATTTTTTGAAGAAACAGTATCTTACTTTAACCCTTTAACTCCCAAGATCTGAGTGTTAATTCTCCTCTCTAGCTGCTACTCATTTCCTTGTAAATTAGTTATGAGAACTTGGTGCTAGATTAAGATAGCAGCTTCTATCTAAGAAGTTTGAATATTCTCATTGCCTGTTTGCCAGAGAATGTAAAGATATTACAGGGAGAAGTTTCATGTTGATCACTTCTGGGAGTTAAAGGGTTAACTACCACTTAAAACTGTACAGTTTTTTCATTCACTAAGTTGCACCAGAAAGTAAAATATAAAATTGTTTTAACCATCATCATGCCATAACAATATCAAGAACTAACCTTCATGATTTTGTTTCTTGGTAGCAAATTATTGTCCTCAATAAACTCAGGATTTGGCATGAAATGTGTCTGAGAATCAAGAAAATGATTTACTGAAGAGTTCAGTCAGATTGTTACAAAAGTTGAGAGGAGGTGCATTTAAAACATTGTTTAATGTTCAAGGTTACATATTTCATCATTTGTTTTCCAAGATTCAAACCACTGTACATGGCAACAAACAGTTTTGTAAGGAGTTACCACATTAACTTGATTACATAATGTTCTGGAATAATTGCAGAATGCAAAAGAAAAATTGTTAATAAGTACTCCCCAAGCATAGAGTTGCATCTGGGCAACAAAACTAAAAAAGTTGATGAAATAAAGAACAAAAATGGTTAATGTAAAGATTAAATGTACACACTGAAAAGCAAGTTTTATAGTATAATTAAAAACAGAAGGAAAATGGTACTCACAGGTCTTACAGTTGACTCCAATGCTCTCAACACAGCTAATGGATCTCTAAAAAAAGGGAAAGTGTATGAGAGGATCCATTAAAATTCTACTTACAATTGACCTCTGGTTAGGCACTTCAGAAATAAAAAGAACCTTTTCAAATAAAGTGTTGCTTTATGTTTGCATTTAGTTATGATTTGGTTCAAACTAGATGAATCTTTTGGGAATTAAAATCTAAATTTGTTTGGAGGATAAAATTTAAAACAAATGTTGTGGTTTAATGCTTTTGACTGGTCTAAATCTTTTACAAGCCACTTTGATTTGTATCCTTCTTTGTTTCAAATCATGCCAAACAATACAACACAAAGAAAAATAAAAATGGATTTGATATCAGAAAAATTCAACCTGAGAAGATAACTGAATCACAACTTAAGTCAAGTTTAACCTACTTTAATTTGTACTTAATTTGTTCTAGATGCAATATTATTAAAAATAGATATCAACCCAGTTTAAAATAATTCTGCCCTGATTTCCACTTTACTTATAACATTAACAGTTACTGGGTAGTTCATGTACGAGCTAGTTAGACAATCATGTTCAACTACCAGTAGTCTCAGAGGTCTGAAAGCAAACAAAGCAACTCACCTTTTCCTGGAAGAAGCATATAGAGCTTCTAAATCTAATGAAGAACAGAAAGAAGCTACTTTTTAAACTCAGAATCTTCACTTTCTGCATTTTTATTATCAACATGCCATAATTAATTTCACTGGAAAATAATACTCAATAAAATTGAAACCTATGAAAAAAAGCTCTAAATGCACTCATAGTTGAAAGGTGATGTTGTTCAGTGAATGACTCCAGCATACTCAGAAAAAATGAGGTCCAAGTGCTCTCAATGGAAGCTGATCCTATGACCTTCTGATTACTATTTTAAATGCTCTACCAGTAAACTACAGGAGACTCAAATCAGGCTAAGTGGTTTCACCTTTAACTCCCGAGATCTCGTAAGTAATTCTCCTTACTGTCTGCCAAACAATTCTCATTATGTTAGTTTGGAGAATTTGGTATCAGATCAATTAGTAATCCAATAATTGATATTTTTCTTCATTCTCATCACTTGTCTGCATGATATTGTATAGATATAGTAAGTAGAAATTCTGTCTTGGTCGCTCACAGGAGTTTAAAGGTTAACTAGGTCTATGGTGACTAACTCGTAGTCATTTTCAAATTAGTAAAAAGTGAGTACATGCAACTCACACATGGCTTTATCATCTAATTCATCAGAAGATGACTTGGAGGGTGCAGTGCATAGTGGTCTGTAAAGGATAAAAAATGATGCAAATAATTACATGCTAATTCTGCATGTTGTTTGTTGATACATATGTTTAATTCTTTCACCCCCAATATCTCATTAGTAATTCTTTTTACTGTCTGTCACATATGATATGATGTTAGTTTAGAGAATTTGGTATTGGATCAAGTAATAGTCCCCTGATTGATACTTTGTTATTCTCATTACTTGTCTGTATGATTGTCTATTGATATTGTAAAGACAAATAATGTCTTGGTCACTCATGGGTCAGTTTAAGGGTTAAAGTCCACCTTTCCACAAAGAACTCAAAACAACGGAATCTAAGAAACTCGTGGTGGTGAAACATAGACACACTCACAGGTTTTCATATGTACGCCTTCGTGTAAACCTCTGAAAAGTTTTAGCAGAGGCATAATCGTCGCTTGGCACATTCAGACCAAATGGGTAGTACACTAATGTAGTAGTGTAATGTAGTACACTTCCAAGAAGTCTTATATACACCTCATACTATCAGTGTGACCAGATGACTACCCGGTTAGTGTTTTATAGACAAATCAGTGCGTTTTGAACATACATGTAGCTTTGGCAGTCAACAGGTCAAAGTCAACCAAAATTTCCCGCAACTGATAAGAATTTCCAAAATTATCAGACTAAACTTTGCCTGATCTGCTAGAATCTGAAAAATCAGCCTTTCACTGCTGCTCTTTTCCATGGTATTCTACACTCTGTAAGTGAGGGTAATCTACATGTTAAAACATATGCACTTAGTCTGCCGCAATTTGACCTCGATCGTAAAATTTCAAGAGGCTTAAAACCCACCATAGGTACATTAGTGTTACCCTGTTGTCTTACCTCAGTGCTAGGGACCGATTTACGCGAATATGTTTTAACTTTCGTGCACAGCGACTACACATGGCCAACGAGGCCGCCATCTTGTGCACTGTTTTTCTCGACACCAGTCCTCCACAGATGAAAATGAAAGATTCACGTGCGGAAGGTTACTGAATTTTGGCTGACCGTGCAGCGGCTTGCAGCAGCTTGCGGCGGCTGATTCTTTACTGGTAAACAAATATCAACATGGAAGTATGTGTAGACTCTGTACAGTCTGCTTTAAATGCTGAAAAAGGAGGTAAGAAATGTTTTAGCTGTTTATATTAGTGTCCTTCTAATTACAATAACACGATACAATCCTCAGATTTCGTTTCAAAATAGCACGTCAGTTCATTCCCTCTTCTACCTGGATCTAGTTGTGTCTGACAAACCTAAAATGAGTTAGTGCCCCATTATTCTTTCATCGTTTCCATCATAACTTATCTCGTGAGACATTGGAGAAGTCATTTTTCAAGGATTAATTCACAAACCTGTCGAACAAGTACACCGTATTTTGGCGGTATTACGGTCGTTGTCACCAAAGCGTGTTACTTAACTACTACTACTGCTAATAATAAACTTTATTAAAGTGTCGAACCATGTGGCCTGGGAGAACCCATGGTAAAATTTCCGCACAACCCCATACTACGTTATGCATCCAGATCTGGATAGAGAAAACAATGACAAAAACAATACATTGCCATTAGGAAAACAGATTT